TAGCTCAGGCTGTTAGTCGCCGACTTCCAAACTCTGCGGGACGGATTCGAGCCCGGATCAGGTCATGTGGGATTTCTGGTGGGCAAAGTGGCACTGGGGCAGGTTTTCTCGGAGTACTTCTATTTGCTTGCCAGTTCTCATTCCTCCAAATGCTCCATTATCATTCATCGTCCGGGGCTGGTACAATAGGCCAGTTAGTGGCCGACGTACCAAGTGGACTCAGTCTCGAGAGAATTTTGAGTAACATCTTTCCATTACAGTAATAATGGCACGTCAAGTTCAAACATCCTCAACCACAACCACCCGTCCTGCTTAAAGCTCCACACGTGTGGCTATGAATGCCGCCACCAGTGCGGACACAGCTGGTCTGGCCCATGAAGCTTCTTGACCGCGCAGGCTATACTCTTCAGTTTCGAATGAAAGGATAAATATTATTATTAAAAAGTAAAGTAAAAATAAAGATATCCCTGTAGCAGGCCTTGGAGGCCCATAGGGTTGTGAGATGTTGAGGTTCCCATATTTTATAGACAATCGGCTCATAGATGGAGTAAGGTTGTCAGTCCTACGGGCCGGCCGCCCTTTACTCCCAAGAATATTCCTGGTACTCATTTCTGTTAGAGGCTGAGTCGACCCCAGGGCCACAGTGCGGCTGGAAGGATTAGGTAAATTGAAAAAATAATCCAGTGACTTTATCGGGATTCGATCCCACGACCTTCCGGCTTGTAGCATAGTGCCTCAACCAACTATGCTACCGCGTGCTCCAAAATATTATTAAGTTTGTAAAAGAAACTCGTCATAGCCTGTGTGAAAGTAAGGCAAATTTGTCCCCGTGCTTAATTAATTAAGCAGTACGCCATGAAGTCGTATGCGGGAGTGGAGATATTGCTCCACCATTCTTCACCTTGGCACTATATAGACGTGAGCGGCCAGCTTCACGCTGCTGTCACTTTGACCTCAAAGAAAGAGCTCCCGGTACCCATTAGATAGGAGGCTAGGTGGGCCCCAGACCAGGTCTGGAGGCTGTGCAGAGGAGAAAGTTCACTTTTCTGCCGGAAATCTAACCCCTGCTCGCTATGCCGACTGAGCTCAGAGGCAGCAATACCGCATTTGCCCGCAAGCACTCAAGGACATAGGGCCGAGGATCAAATCCGGCACCTTCAGAAATAAATGCAGGAGTGTCAAACACTCGGACCGCCTCTGTGGTCTAGTGGTCAGAGTTCCTGGTTACCGATCCAGAGTTCTCATGTTCAATTCCCGGCGCTACCAGATTTTCTGAGAAGTAGTGGGTCTGGAATGGTGTCCACTCAGCCTCGTGAGGATTACTGAGAAGCTATTTCAAGGAAATAGCGGCTTCGGTCTAGAACACCGAGATTAACGGCCGTAGGGATCCGTTGCGCTGACCACGTGACTCCCTCTGTCCACAAGAGCTGGCACTAACTTCGCCGACAAGCAGCGTTCGCTCGGTCGGCATAGTTTGCTTGCGGACTAAAGACCACGGAGTTAGCTTTTTTGTCAACCACTCGACCGGGACCCACTGTACGTGCTCGTATTGTATGTAACAATGGTGGTGCTCGCTGGTAATACAAAGATACTACCTTGACAGCAATTGAAAGGGATGTCATTATCAGATAGTATAAGAAAATTATTACCATAGTGAACTGAAGGGCTTGACGAATAGCAGCATAATACGAGAGGGGACCAAAAAAAACGGGAATTGTTTATAAAAAATTCTGTATTTATTTTTACTTAACAAAACTTTAATCCCCTTCGAAGTACTCTCCAACTGATTCAATGCACTTGTCCAAACGTTTTTTCCATTGCTCAAATATTTTTTTAATTCATCGCTGGTGATGCCTTTTAGTCCTTCAGTCGTTTTTTCTTTCTTTACGTCTTCAACATCAGCAAAACATTTTCCCTTGCGATCTCCTTTCATCAGAGGAAATAAAAAAGGTCGCACGGGGCAAGATCCAGGAAAAGCTGAGCAACACAACAAAATCGGTAAGGACATTTGTTGCCGTTTCGAGACTGAAACGAGTTCCTTCTGACTACACACGGGAGGCGGGATAGCTCAGCCGATATAGCGACGAGCTACGGACTGGACGGCACGGGTTCGATTTACAGCAGAGCCTTATTTTTCTCCATTCTACATTTTCCAGATCGGATCTAGGGCCCATCTAGTCTCCTATACCATGGATGACGAGGGCTCTTTCCTCAGGTGTAAAGCGGCCGGAGCGTGAAGCTGATCACTAACCTCCATCTAGTCACGAGGTCAAGAATTTTGGAGTTATACCTTCACTCCCATACGATTTCATGACATAACTAATTAAGCACTTCCACAGCATTACCTTTCACAGGCCACACAAGTTAACGCTGATAACTTGATAAGTGACTAGCGATTCTGACAGATTATTGGTAACTTTAATGATTCTTTCTCGGCAGCACTGATCGAATAAAGAATATCATCATTACGGGAATTGAATTATAAAGAATGTCACCTAGATTCGAAGCGAGTGTCTCCCGGATACGAAACATGCGCGTAAGCATTTAGAAGCCCCCGCAGTAACACAGTGCAATTTAACACGAATGACTTTCGTCCTTTGTAAAAGTCTGAACTCGTGATCCTTGGAGCCGCAACAGAACACTGACGTCAGCCTCAGTCAATCATGTAGAAATAATTTATCAATGTCTGTTGAATATTCTTTCCCGCCAGGAAGACACTTGATCGAGGTACGAACTATGGATGTGCTTTAGCGACGTGTATAAAATATCTCTTCCCACTTGACTCTCTTATGAGCACTAATTCCAGGGGTGGACTTGCCATAGCTCTAAGTCTTCTTTTTGTATTCTAGTTGCTCCCACTTGGAACATAGGGCATCCGTGAAACGCTTCATTTCACTTCAGTTTCTAATCTAAGACAGTTGGTAGGACTCCTTGCACGGAGGATCAGCCCGTCGCAAGGTCGCTACATAACACAAACACAGAATAAACACGGACAGGCATTCATGCCTTGAGTGGGAATCGAACCCACGATTCCACTGTTCGAGCAGGCTAAGAAATTTCATGCCTTAGACCGCTCGTCCACTGAATGATAATGAGGAATCCCAAATTGATTATATGGGGACAATCTATCTATAAAAGCTTCACAGTAGGTTTTTTTCAATGCTGATTGTATTACTGATGTCTTGCAGACGGAAATTTATTGTTGCAGAGAGAGACATGTCCATGGCACTGCTCAGAATACGAAAGTATTCTTCCTTATATTTCGTTAAATATTCATCACATCGAATAATTTTAAATTCATAACTATATACTATATATTGCGTAGGAATCTCTACTCCAACGAATATATGTATAAATTGTTTTCCAGAAATTAGACAAAGTTCGATTTGAACGTCAGTATTTTATGAATATATCGCACTCATGACAGCCCAAATGAAAAACGTTTAATAGCTTTAGTATACCCGCCCCCTACTTACTTATCGTTCTGAAGTTAACGATGTACTGTATGCCTGTAGGCAGATGGAAGGGGTTCCTTTACTTTTTCTTGCAGGTTAAACACAACAGGCAGTTAATACGTAGATTCTAAATTGTTCTGACGATGGTGTACAAAACTCAGAATCACCGGATTTTTGGACTTTGCCCTTCGTCCGGTATTCTAAAAGCTAGAAAACACAACGTTTTGGAAACTGGACTTGTTTCCGTCCTCAGTTGAGGGGAGTGGGGGGAGACACCTACTCTGTTGGGCCCATCAGGAAGAGCAAACCTTAATCAGTAGGTTCAGTCGTCAGGTGAGGGGGAGGCACCTACTCTGTTGGGCCCCTCAGACAGAGCGAACCTTAATCAGTAGGTTCAGTCTTCAGGTGAGGGGGAGGCACCTACTGTGTTGGGCCCCTCAGACAGAGCGAACCTTAATCAGTAGGTTCAGTGTTCAGGTGAGGGGGAGGCACCTACTGTGTTGGGCCCCTCAGACAGAGCGAACCTTAATCAGTAGGTTCAGTCTTCAGGTGAGGGGGAGGCACCTACTCTGTTGGGCCCCTTAGACAGAGCGAACCTTAATCAGTTGGTTCAGTCTTCAGGTGAGGGGAAGGAACCTACTCTGTTGGGCCCCTCAGACAGAGCGAACCTTAATCAGTAGGTTGAGTCCTCAGTTGAGGGGGAGACACCTACTCTCTTGGGTCCCTCAGAAGGAGCGAACATCAGTCACTAGGTCCAGTGACTGAGGTTAGGTCTTTCTTAGGGACCCAACAGAGTAGGTGTCTCCCCCCCTCCACTGAGAAAGGAAATAGATCCAGTGTCCGAAACAATGTGTTCTCTGGTTTCTACGAGTAGAATACCGGACGAAGGACAAAGTCCAAAACCCCAGTAATTATCAAACAGTTAACACCCTAACCGTTCTGAAAAAAAAAAACAATTTTAGACCTAAAGTATAATAAAGAATTATTTGTTAATTGGAGGAATTATTGTAATTTTCATTGTAATCCAACCATGACGAGATACTGTACGAAAAAAGAGCAAAAAAGCAAGAAATAAGAGAATAAGTATACTTCAGTTCAAAATAGATGAAATAATAAAATTAGAATATACTGTACGGTCTGTTACTTAACAATTCCGGCCGTACTTCTGCCTAGTCACGCGTCCTTCCCTCCGACATTAAGAGGCAGGTGGGTCGTGCAATTGCCTGCAGACACGAGCGCTTTCATTCACACGCAAATTTTCAATTTTTTTTTGTGACTGGTCAGGACAGATGGTCAACTTTCTTCTCTTAATAACTCATCCTGGCCGTGGTAATATGTGCCAATTATATTTTGATTCTTCAGCGGAATAACGGATGAGCGAAGAGGAGATGGAAAAACATGGTATGCCCTGAAGCAACTCAGTGATCTTCGCAACCACTGATCGGGTGTATAGGCCAGCTCTGACTTCGTCATCCCATGAATCCTATGTTTTTTTAAATCAAATGTACCAATCACATTTAGTATTTTATTTACCTCCACAATTTATTTCTTCCTCCTTCCAGAAACCAACATTAATTCACCCATCTGTATTCAGTTAATCTTTATGAACGAAACTTCACACACACAAAACAAATTATCTGGAAAGGTACATAACAGTACATTTCAAATATTTAATTGAATAAAAAATTATGTTTTAACCGAAATCAACATATGAGATACTGGCACTTTAGTTTGCATTCTGTCTGACCCAAATTCGTATCTAATCATGGAGGTAGTTGTTCTATTACCTTTGTTCCACATTTCCTCTCAAAATTCTACATTGCCACAACAAATTTACTTTCCATTATTTTCAATTTGTAATTATTAGTCGCCGGTCATGGTAGCCGAGCGGTCTGAGGCATATACTCTCTTCGATCCTAGGAAACCGGGTTGTGGGTTCGAATCCCACAAAAGGCATGGGTGTTTGGCATGTTTATGTGTTTATTCTGTGTGTTTTCCTGTTTTTATATAGAGGCCTTGCTGCGAGCTGATCACTCGCCTAAGGAGTCCTACCGCCTGTAAAATGATCATGAAACTGAAAACCAGAGACCAGGGACCAAGGGGGCTGTACAGCCAGCGAAAAAGAAAATTACCAGTCACTTCATTATTCGATCTTACACAATCTACGCACTTAAGAAAGTATCGATAAGTACAAGAATACGTACATAATACTTTCATATAAGGCACACAGAATCGATATCACGCTTTTTCCACTACCTATTCATTCCCAACAAACGCCTGAAATATGTCGCGTATTCCAAAGGGGTTTCGGAACTACGAAATTTGCGCAGTTTTCAACTTTCTCTCCGCATTTCATCCACCAAAATTAACTACGTTGATATTTCTTCCCCTTAAATTTTGACAGCCAACTTCTTTTTATGTGCCAGATATTCCTAGTAAGAAGCAAAAGCAAACAGTACATAGGAAAACCATTAAGTAGATGGCCAAGAAGTTGGAAGAGGCATGATCTTACTCAGTGGAGGGCATGAGAACAGTAACAAGTCCTAGACAGCAGTGACTGGACACTTCACTGGTCGCCATATTGTTGAATATTTTCCTACCGCGGTGCAGTCCGATGAGCCAGCCACAAATACCGGAGCACTACACTGATTCCAGTTAATGAAGTTCCATTATATCGTGTTCCAAATGCTTATGGTCTGTGTCCGAACATGAACAAATCGTTAAAATTCACTTGCCGACTTAAAATCTCACAAATCTTCATTCTCTGTTTACTTAAAGAGAATAAGAAGCGTTTCCTTTGTGAAGGGTAGCAGATCTGAAGAAGTCTTCATACTCTTGTTTTCTGTAATGCAGTATTGTACATTTGCGGTCCGCCGGTCCTCCCATTGAAGCCCCGGTTGTGGAAAGCAAGTTCAGATGAAGGACTGGAGAACTGTCTTCTACTTTCTGCGCAGGAACCACTGCCAAGCTGCTCATTCATATATCTTATTCCGCAATCTAAAAATTGAAGTAGTAATTATTGTTATTTCTTATTCTGTCCTTACAATCCTTGGAGCGAGACTGAAATATGATTATCTGTTCAAAAGGAACCGTCACCGAACCCTACTCTGAGTCAGTTTTATATACTTATATATATATTTTTAAGTCCATTTTAATATTATCCTTCCTTCTACACTAGATCTCCCAACTTACATTTCCCTCCACGTTTTCCAACTGATATATTTCCCCATGAGCACTAAATGTGCAGTAGATGTCCGGTCTTCATCTCAGTAACATTAGGTGACAAGTGCAAATGTGAAGCTCCTTGTCATGCAATCCAACGTTTAGGACGTCTTGGCGACAGTTCGAAAAGTTTCGTACGAAATTCTTCATTGAGTACCATCGATGAATAGATAACTTATCGCTACATCAAGGACAAGTTCCCTTCCTTCGCCTTTTGAAAGATGGAAAGATGATGAAATTCCGTGACATTTGGGGTGTTGGTTTTAGAGCGTTACGAAATCTTTTTATATACATAAAAACGAACATTAAGAACTCGCAGGCAAATGACAACTTGTTGATGTTTTATTGGACACCGGAGTGACATGGCTACTTTCACACAGGCACATTTTTTTTTCGGTCACAATGGACACAATAGAACCACGAAGACGAACTCTTGGCTTTCAAGTTTACGAAGCTCTGATGAGTAATGCACGACCTTCATACGATGCTGAAATTCACTCCTTTCATTACGATAGAAAGTTCAGCTATACGAAAATTCGTTTTTCTTAATGTTACCAAAATATTACAGACTCATGAAGGGCACAGGTCTGGCGATCAGTCTTCGGACGGTCCCTGAATCAATTCAGTTGTGATGATAATTCCAAGGTTTCTATTTCCCTCAGACACTGCACGAAACGCTTAAACACTCTCTGGCAAACGGTTTGAGTATGTTTACCCAGAACACTTACAGGTCTTCTGTTTCGGCCGCCAAAGCGAAATGACAGGAGTTACATGATGGCGCGACAAAACGTTACCGGCGCAACTGCTCCGTATCGTGGAGGCAAAGAAATTAATAATTCTTAGACGCAATTCTCTCTGGAGACAAACGTGGAAGATTAATAGCCACATTCCTCACAGTTTTCACGGGCCCGTTATACAGGACACGGGACATAAACACTTTGTTTTTCGAAAGGAATATATTCCTCGAGGTTCAAAGTGAGTCCAAAATTTATTAAACGAAGATAAATTTCCGTTTAATCCATTTACATATTTCGATGGGTCAGAGATGTCTCCTGCTGGTGTCATATTTCGTATCTTATCCTTGCATTCACTAATTATCCTTTCGTCTCGGGCAGCGTTAATAAAATAATTATTTTGTCTCGTCAAATAACCATCAAAAACAAAACAAACATTCTCCGTTGTCTGTAGTCCGCAAGCGAACTGTACCGACCGAGCGACTGCCGCATGTCGGCGAAGTTACTGCCAACTTTGGCGGAAGAGGGTGTCACATGGTCAGCGCAACGAATACTTATGGCCATTAATCTCGGTTTTCTAGACCGGAGCCGCTGTTTCCTTGAAATAGCTTCTCAATTATCCTCACGAGGCAGAGTGGACCCCGTTCCAGAACCACTACTTCTCATAAAATCTGGTAGCGCCGGGAATCGAACCCGGGACCTCTGGATCTATTGCCAGAAACTCTGACCACTAGACCACAGAGACGGTCTTCTTTAATCTTATAAATATATATTGTAAATGTAAAATCTAAAGTTTTGAGATATTGTGAGTTTGTTTTGATAGAATGCCTTTATATAACCACCCAGTTCATCTGCAATGATTTCAGTAGGGAATCAGTCACGCTTTTCTGAATGTGCACCGGGACATGCAAATGTATGGAGTCATGGCGGTAAAGATCCTCGTAGTTCACATATCGTAATTATATTGAGAAGAGAGACCAGTTTCACGTTCCGGTCGTTCTATCAACGAACAAAGGGTCCAAAGAATTGATGTCATAGTAGGATTGATGAGCTGCAGAGCCGATGAAAAGAGAATAGTGTCCCTGCAGGGAATCGAATCAGGTCTTTATTTTCTGAGCTATTCCGGTTCGCTCTGCTGTGTATAATGTACTTGTCCAGTTTGAAATATTGATTGATATGGACTTCTGGTCACAGATACTACCTGGAATTATAGCACATTCACAATAGAACGACATTGAGGTTGAATTTCACTCATTTTCAACCACTTTACAGCACATGTTCTCACTGAAACTGTAACGAATCTCCTTACCATTGGACACTATGCATTAGTCCTGCACTCCAGATTAAACGTGTGGAAACAATATGATTTTAAGGAATTTTTCATCGGCTGACAAGCAGTGATGCGCATTATATGTTCATTTATCTGCAGCAAATTCGATGTGCAGTGAAAGAGCACTGGAATTGGTCACACTCCGAAAGCTCTGCATTCCCTACAAAGTTAGCTGCTAATCTGGCACTTGAGATGAAGCACTGTCTTCTCGTGAAACACGCACGAGCGCAACTGCAAAGGCTGTCCACCCGACCTGAGTGCACGTGTTGCTTTCGAATTTTATTCGTCTATGTAAGATTTAAAGTTTTTCACGGCGGTGACTATGAAGATAGCAGTTTTCTGGGATATGGCGTCGTGTAGATATCGTGTTAACCGAAGTTTCGGAGGAAAGTATCGCACCCATCTTCAGAGTAGAAGAAAAAAGAAGAAAACCCGCAAGCGAAGAACCAGAGTGAGCAGGTGCAAATAGTCTTAGACTGAGGCGATACGTGCCTCCGAAACGTCGGTTTACACAATATCTACACGGCGCCATATCCCAGAAAACTGATATCTTTATTCGTATATGTTCTTGATGTCCATGTATTAAGCATATAATTCAAAATTTTTATTTCCTTTACTTTCATTATCTTGTGCCTAACTACAAGCTTTAATAATTCATAATGGGCAGCAACATAACATACAAATTAAATGTTGATAAAGCTAATTTGGAAAAACTAAGCTAAATAATAGGCGAAGGAATTCACCTTTTCATTTCTTTAAATATTTCAGACTCAGAATATTAGTCATAATACGTTTCTACAAAGCTATGCTTCTATAATTTAAAAATGGCATAAAATATTTCTTATTTTTTCTTCTTCGTCATTTTGAGATGCGCTCTTTTGCTATAAACGAGAAAGAACAAGTTTGAACGCCGTTCTAAACCGCTCTGACTTGAAATTATTGAGTTTCTGGCCTTTGTCTATTGTTTGCTCTGGGATTTTGTACAATCACTGATATCCCTTTCAAACAGACTAATATATTTATGTGCTTACTCACTCTTTCGCCTGAAGATAGAAACAGATACATTTTCCGAAACGTTGCCCTATTACAGAATACCGGATGATGAGCAAAGTCTTGGAATTCATTAATTCCGAGACTGAAACCCTATTAGGTGTACCTTTTCGGGGGCTTTTCTTCCACTTTTTCAGTTGCGGATGAAAATTGCTGACGGTCTTTCGTAATCAGCGTAAAACAGGTTGAGATCTTGCAGAAAAAGCGCCCCCATCCAGTACAAAATGTGGCCATAATTAGTACAGCTGTTCTCTGGTTACGAGATAATTCTTCTCTTTTAATTATATCGAGAAGTGTCAGTTCTTGCTGAGCTTTTTGCGGGAAGAACCCACAGAATATTCGCCTTTGGCGTGGTGAAGTGTTCGCGTTCCCATGTGAACAGTTCATAGGCCGTCAATACACTCCATTCTGAGTGAAAAGGAACGATAATGCCATTTTGTTTGGGTAATTGCTTGGGACACGGCTAATCTCTAGCCTACTTATGTGCATTACACGTGTCACACATAAAGAAATGAGCGTATAAATTAATTATAAACCTCAGTAATGAGGCTATTTAAGAAGAGAGTGCTGAGAAGAGTAACCGGAAGCATAAGAGAAGTAAAAAATGGATGCTGAAAATCGCATAACCATGGGCTTCATAACTAATATTGCTGTGGTCTAGTGGTCAGAGTTCCTGGTTACAGATCCAGAGGTCCGGGTTCGATTCCCGACGTTACCAGATTTTATGAGGAGTAGTGGGTCTGGAGCGGGGTCCACTCAGCCTCGTGAGGATAATTCAGGAGCTATTTCAAGAAAATAGCGGCTCCGGTCTAGAAAACCGAAATTAACGGGCGTGGAGATTCGTTGCGCTGAACACGTGACACCGCTATCCACTAAAGTTGGCCCTAACTTTGCCGACAATCGGCGGTTGATCGGTGGGTACAATTCGCTTGCAGACTCAAACCACGGTGTTTTACTTTCTTTGTTACGGCAATACAGCGAAAGAGATTTTGATGGGCGGGTCATGCATCGCTCATAAGGAAGATGGGTCATGCATGTGAAACTTTAATATGAAATGCGTATAATAAGAGGCCAATCGAGAGATAGGTGTAAGTTTGAGAATAATATTAAAGAAATAGGATATAGTTTGATAGTATGGGCTGAATTCAACCGACTTGGGGTACAGACCCGTGGAATGCTCTCTTGAATCTTCTTGTTTCGTAAGGATGGGAAATGGATTGACAAGAAGAGCGACTATCAGCTACTCTATACAAAATGTGTGAACTCTTTGCTTAGATGGGTGCCGTAAATTTTACAAAATCGTAATGGGGAGGGGTTTGAAAATGCCGCTAAAAATGTATAATGTGAAAGTTACTATATTTCTATAAATGGAAAGGGCTTTCATCCAGGAAAGGTACTTTCTGTCTATAACAACTCATGAGTTAACAGTTGGTTGGGGTACGTGGGCGTTCACACAAGTAGTCAGTTTTCACAATTTAATAAAATGTTTGTATTTCATAATACAAGTGACTGAGTTCTGGTCTCACTGCTATTGAGAGTGATCACGATGGTTATGGTCCCGAGAAGTAAACTTCTTTTTACTTTCTTACGTTTTTTCGTTGCTGTTTTGTGATAGTTAACCTGTATATCCTCGCTAAACCGTGAACCCAAAGGCAAGTTCC